TGAAGACCTGAGACCGGAGGAGGTCGAACAGAAAACAATTATTTCTTTTTAGAAAATAATTAAATACCATTTTCTGAATAATTACGAGCAAAAAAAATGTAAACACACAAGTTTACGCAGAATATATCTCTATTAAGTATGGCAGATACCACTACAAATAATTTTTTTGTAGATTTTCAGTAAAACAATTTATTGTTTGTAAAATTTGAGATAGATATTAAAGAAACATTGAAAATTTTCAAACACATCATTCAAGTTTTTCCACCTTAAACGGTAAAATAATTATAGAAAATAAGAAATATCACGTAATATTTAGTTTTTTGTTGTTAATTAGGTGTAATTCGGACTAATTCCCTAGAGGTAAATCCGTAACGTACCGGCAAACGGTATTTAGCTATGTTTTTGAAAAGGTCAATTAACCAATCGTGTACGGTTTACAGGTCACATGCTCCTCCATGTACAGAAAACAGGTCACGTGCTCCTCCATGCCTCAAAAGTTAAACGCGTACCAATACACTGAATGATAGGGTCTATATTACATGTATCATCTTTAGAAATGTAAAATCATGATATTAAAGCAATTGTTTAACTTAAAGCTGCACGCCTCTAGATGAGCCAAAATTTTTCAAGAAAAACAAACTTGATTTTTTTTTACAAAATTGAAAGTGATATGTTGTTTTTTCGGTAGATGACTGATTTTGAAGAAGATCTATATATCACCCTATTTCTACTGCGTGACTATCGAAGTAAGGGCTATATAGTGACATTTTTACCTCTGTTTGGTAAATTACATGGTTTTTAAATGCCGTTTGCAATACGTTAATTTTCTTTCTAGTACACTTCACAACATTATACTGTAAAAAAAGTTTTAAAAATATTTATGAAAATAAGCATGAATCTGGAGGCATGCTGCTTTAAAGTATAACTATGTACATTTTTCTTTAAAACAGGTATACAAGTGAAATTATACATTAATTTTCTCTTAACGCCGATTTCAGCTCATTTTTGGTCTTATCTCGGAGGTAAGTCCGTCTCGCCGGTTTTCCTGGATAATTAACCAGTAATTGCCCATTTCTTAGCAAGTGACCAGCTTCTAAGCCTAATTAATTTGAGCCGCGTCATGACAAAACAAACATAATGGGTTTGCGACCAGCATGGATCCAGACCAGCCTGCGCATCCGCGCAGTCTGATCAGGATCCATACTGTGCGCTATCAGTTTCTCTACTTGTAATAGAGTTGGTATGCGAACAGCATGGATCCTGATCAGACTGCGCGGATGTGCAGGCTGGTCTGGATCAATGCTGGTCGCAAACCCATTATGTTGTTTTTGTTGTGACGCGGCTCATTTCTGGATCGAACTAGCGACCCTTGAATAACAAATGCTAAGGCTAATTGTGTAGTCTTGAACAAAACTGAACATATGAACAATATCGTCAATTATGAAGTTGCATGAACACAAATAGCATTATCATATGTAAATTGTATATGCACGTCTTTATTTCTATTAAATGCACAGTCTAAAATGTTTTTTTTTTGTTATTCTTTTTTTTTTAGAAAAAATATGTACATGTTCTAGGGTTGAGGTGTGTCATGATACTTTTATACTTGAAGAATGACAAAAAAAAATGTTCAGCGAGAATTCGTTTCGGTTTTATTCCCCTATCTTTTCAACCAATTGTTTTCTTTCTCACACTTATTTTCAATATATAACTACATTTTTTCTCCCATTTATACATTTAACAGTTACAGGAGAGAACTTTCTGATATAAGAAATATATTTTTTAATTGTACATTTAAAAGTATGCGTATGAAAAATCGATGTATTTAACACTGCATTTAATTTCCAACCGTTTATGTTTAAAGCAGCATGCCTCCAAATTCATGCGAAATTTCATGAAAATTTAATTTGCAATAGTAAAGTATAATTCTTGATGGTAATAGCCATAAAAATTGATAGTGTTGTTCCCCTTAAATAGAAATAATACTGGAAATGGCAAAGAAAGGTACAAATATGATTTTCAAAAAAGCAATAAATGGACAAAAACAAAATAACATCTGATTCGGTTTTAATAACCAAAACTGTTATACGCCTTAATTGTGCTTCATTGTTGTCAGATATGAGGTACGTTGGAATTTTTGTTCAATCAAAATAACATGCTTTAAAGGCAGATAACTTGTTTTCACTTTATGTCGAATTCAACGTTGCAGTTACTTCCCATGATGAAGAATCGTCCATGAAAGGGTACATGTATGCTCTATACACATCCGTGCAGTCTGACTATTACATCAGCTGTTTGTAGCTCATTGTGTTTTGTATGTTCATGTCGAAATGCCTTAGTACCTAACTTTAAAGCGGAGTAAATCTGTTACATACATTCAGCTATAGTTAAGGGTAAACACGCACAATTAAGTTCCGTAGCTCAGTATGTATAGTGTACCAGTTTTTGTTTGGATGTAACTAAGCAATGCTTGAACTGCATTTTGTCTTCTATCGACGTCATTTGTACAAACTGAAATGTCCTCCATAATTTGTATAACATAGTTGTCTCCCATTGAATTTCAAACTCTAAATCAATCAGACAGTTAAATATCTTAATATTATAATTGGCCAATATTATATGGACTGTGGTCTGGTTGAATGACGTGCACGCTTATGGTAGTTTTACATATCCACATTGATAAAACAGTGTTGGTTTGCAGTTTCTTCCCAAAATCGCATGAAGGAAGCGTATACGTACACTGTTACAGTGCAAGTAAATGCTCTGTGTATTTTCGTGCAATCCAACCGTGATCTCTTCTGTTTGTAATTCATTGTTTTTTGTTGTTTTTTTGTTTTGTTGTTGTATTGTTGTTGTATTTGTGTTGATGTTGCTGCTGCTGCTGTTGTTGTTGTTTTGTTGTTGTTGTTAAATAAACTGTACTGGCTTTACTCTTCTGCGCATCGGTCGAATGTTCCGCTATCGGTCTGAATTCATTAAGCTGCGAAGGGAGCGTAAACTGGCTTGTGAACTTTTTTCACATATGAACACTCGAAACGTTTCTCTGTCGTGATAAAACATTTAATCTAAACAATTTATTAAGCGTTGATATATGACAAAATTGTTGTTTATACACGATATATTTGTAGACAGAAATCACAAATTACAATATTTTATACAATACAAATATTCAATTCAACAATTCGTTCTAAAGCGTATTTTCAGTTTGTTAGTGAAGCAAATAACTGTCAGGAAAAATAAACGGTTTCTTGGCTATTTGGGTCTGTTTTTAAATTATATAAGAAACTCAGGATATTTCAGATTAAACATACTTATTTAAAGCGTAACTTGTTAATGCATTGACCAGAATTCACTAATTGAAAAATGTCTAAAAAAGTAAAAAAAAATGTCGATTTATTGATTGTTTAAAACGCATTTTGTTTTCTGTTCAACAAAGAAAGAGACAACAGTTATATTATTCTAAACTCATCATCAGTAACAAAGTTAATATCATTCATTAATTTGTTTTGCCAAAAATAAACATATAGTAAACATACTGATGTGCACGTTCTGGCTATGGAATCTCTCATTGCGACCAGTGTTCAGCCAGTCAGTATATCTTGTCGTTTGGTGGTGGTCTGAATTTTTCATTATTCAGTCATGAACGGTTTTGTTTTGGTTAAAAGAAAGACAAGCCAATTAATACGGAAGCGTCCTGGTGCCAATTTAATATGTTCTATAAAAAAAGATAACTCCTACGTAGGACTTTATAAATCCTACGTAGGAGATATAAAAACCTAATTAGGACTTTTAAAGTCATACGTAGGACTTACAAACTCCTACGTAGGACTTTATAACTCCTGCACAGGAGTTAAAAAAAGCCTAATTAGAAGTTTTTAATTCCTACGTAGGCTTTTTAAGACCTACGTAGGACTTTATAACTCTTAGGTAGGACTTTATTACTCCTACGTAGGACTTTATAACTCCTATGTAGGACTTTGTAAGTCCTACGTAGGACTTTCTAATTCCTATGTAGGAGATAAAAAAGCCTAATTAGGAGTTTATAACTCCTACGTAGAAGTTTAAAACTCCTACGTATAGGAACACTTATAAAATCCTACGTAGGAGTTATAAACTCCTTCCACTTCCGAAAATTAAAGATATTTAGAATGGTATGGGTAAATGTTATGTTGCGGCTTTTCACTCTTGCTGATGAAGAAATATGATAAGTCCATATGTTAGCATGTTTTCAAAATTATCGTTGCTTTGAAAATGTTTCAGTCTTCTTAATCTGTATTCGAATGTTGAAAATGTAAATAGGAAACACACTTTTTTACATTTTTGGCTGTTATCTTGTTATTGTTGTTGTTTTTTTTGTTTACGACAATTTGTTCTTAATTGGGCTAGATATCGGACATTTAAATGCGTTTATTTAAACAGACGTTGCAGTGCAAACGTTAAACCGTGCAAATATTGCAAATTTCATTCTCAAGACAAACAACAAATATTTTCCTAACACTCAAAGGAAGAAGAAGTTAATCAGTAAACTGATGACTGCAGTATTTTAATGATTTGTTGTTGATGAAATATATCAATCAACATCGTGTTTTCTTCTTGACGATTGTTGTTTTCCAGATGCTCGTCATCATTTGGTCAGGGAAAGATTAATGAAGAAAGCTCGCGCAGGTGCAGAGAGAGGCCTAGTTCTAATTATGTCATAACAAATCAAACATTATTTTATTTATGTAGACCACCAGCTTATAACATATATTGATTTAAACATTTTTTAAACAAAACAAATGTTCTGCCTCGTAAAAGTGAATAAACAAAACACAATTACTATCAGACAGTTTAACCAGCTTTATTCAATATCTTTATACGTGTGTATGCGTGTGTGGTAAAGGAATGTTGTGGCTTTATAGACATCTACAGCCAAATCTTTTACAAAATTTACAAATGGCGGTGCCACACCGCTTAAACACGAGAGCGTAACTAAATCAAACACGACTCTCACTGTAGCGTTATCGACTCATAGTATCGTCCTCAAAAACATCGTCCCAAAACTGACGATACAACACACTCCCCGTCTGTTATTATAAAATAATAACACTAATAACCCTATATCAACACTTACAACATTATATTTATAACACTTTACCTGTTATTATAACAAAAATAGTTTACAAAAGTCTAATACTGAAAATAAAGGTTGAAGAAATATATCCTGAAAAAACTTCAGACATATATCCGTCTAATTTATTTATTTATATATATAAGTCTAGTAATTAGTATTGACTAGAAATCTTAATGATAATAAAAAGTAAAATAACAAAACAAAATAGAGGTTTCCAAAACTGATCACTTGAAATACAATATTGAGATTCTAAAAGTCAAAGCTTAGAATAGGCAATTCACAAAAAATTTAAATATTCTCTTCCATAATATTCAATAACTAGTTTAAGATCTTTACAGAATTCAAACAGGAAACGGGAGGTCGAGGGTATGATTCCCTCTGAAGCCTACAATAATTAATTACTTAACGTCATTTTGAAGAAAAATATACAAAGAAAGTTAAAGGTAATGTATTACATTAAACAGTACAAGAAACAATATCCTTACATTACACATAGCTATACAAATAGCTTTATATTACTTCCTGACAAGTAACACCAAATTAACAATTGGTCTAGTATAACAAACTTTCTTTCCTTCTTTCACAATACAAATTTCAACTTTGCGGACTCTACCGTCTTTACTCGGAAAAGTACGTACAACTCTTCCCATAGGCCAATAGTTGCGTGCTACTTCAGCATCCTTAAGTAATACAATGTCATCAACTTTTAATGGTTCTTGCTCTTGAACCCATTTATGCCTAACTTGAAGAGTTTGGAGATATTCTCGTCTCCAGCGTAACCAAAATTGATTGGCTAAATATTGGACTTGTTTCCACTGATTTCTATATAGATCTTTAGTCTCTATATTGCCGAGGGGTGATTGGTCAGATTCTAACTTCTGTGTTAACAAAGCAGAGGGACTCAATATATCTGGAACTTCGGGATCGTAAGACACTGGAACAATTGGACGGGCATTTACAATAGCTGATACCTCTGCCATTAAAGTTACAATGACGTCATGAGTCAAAGTTTTGACATTTAATAGCATAGCGTCTAGTATTCTGCGAGCAACACCTATGAGGCGCTCCCAAGTACCTCCCATATGAGAGCTATGAGGGCTATTAAATTCCCAAACTGAACCAGATTTCTGTAAGAAACTCTGAACATGTTCATCTTCAACATTAATTGCACTGGCTTGAATGTTATCAATTGCCCCAATGAAATTTGTACCACGATCAGATCTATAAACCTTAACTTTCCCACGTATAGAAACAAATCTCCTAAGGGCGTTAGTAAATGCAGAGGAAGATAAATCTTCGATAACCTCTATGTGCACTGCCCGAATAGTCAAGCAAGTGAATAAAACAGCCCAACGTTTTGAAAGAGCTTGTCCACCTCTAGTACGTCTTGAAACAATCTGCCACGGTCCAAACACATCAACCCCGACATAACTGAAAGGAGATGATTGAACTACACGTTCAATGGGTAGGTCTGACATCTTTTGGCATAAAAATTTCCCCCTTAATTTTTTACAGATCACACATTTGTGAATGACAGAAGAAACTAATCGCTTAGCTCCAATAATCCAGAAACCTGCCGACCTAAGGGCTCCTTCAGTAATCTGTCGGCCCTGATGCACAACCGACTCATGGTAATGTTTTACCAATAATTCAGCTACAGGATGCTTTTTGGGCAAGATAATAGGACTCTTTTCTACTTGAGACAACTGACTTCTGCACAAACGTCCACCAACATGTAACAAACCATCACTGCTTAATACCGGGTCAAGGGATAAAATGTTACTGTCTTTGTTAAGACTTTCTCCTCCAGAAAGAAGCTTAATTTCCTTTGAAAATACCTCAAGTTGGACTTGAAGCAATACCCATGACACAGAATCTTCCTTATTGGCTAAAGTTTTCGAGAGTGGGCAGATATGCCATCCTTTACATGGTAAACTTCTGTGAAAGGAAATGGCAATATGTCTTAATATAGAAACTGCACGTATTAAACTTAGCCAGGAGGAAAACTTTTCAAACAAACCCATGCTGAAATTCAAGTCTTTTACGTTTGAAGCCATAACAGAAATCTCTTTGCGAATTTCTTTATCTTGAGTGGGGTTTACAAGAGGAAAACTTTCAGGCCTAGAATCATTTGCATCACTTTGCAAGAACTTTGGACCTGATAACCATGAACTCTTCAGTAACTTAACAAGACTGGCACCTCGGCTACCAATATCAGCAGGATTGTGTTCAGAGGGAACATAATTCCACTGTGAAGGATTAGATACACTAACAATCTTATGGACACGATTACTAACATACGTGAAAAACCTTTTGGACTGATTACAAATGTAACCTAAAGTAACCTTACTATCTGTGTAGAATTTAACTGTGTTTACATCAACACATAAATGACTTGCTACAGACTGATACAGTTCAACAGCTAAAACTGCAGCACATAATTCAAGCCTGGGTATAGTGTGACCCTTTTCTGGAGCAAGTTTGCTTTTCCCAACAACAAATCCTACATGATTATCTCCCTTTAAAAATCCCTTAACATACACAACAGCTGAGATGGCAGTAAACGACGCATCTGAAAAGATATGTAAATCAACCTTCGACATTTCACTCAGTGACCTTTCAAAATAACACCTACGAATACTGAACATCTCTAAATCTTTTAACCTCTCCTTCCAATTCTCCCATTTCAGTGCTATCTCTGTAGGCACAATGTCATCCCAATCAACTTTAGTACACATAAGTTCTCTAAGGATTAACCTTCCTTCTAAGATAACAGGGGCCAAAAATCCAAGTGGGTCAAATACACTATTTATAGAGGATAAAATACCCCTTTTAGTGATAGGACGAGCTGACATATCTGTTTTAAAAACAAAGTCATCAGAACTTAAATTCCAGACAATTCCAAGACTACGCTGACTTGGCAGATCGCCACAGTCAAGATCTAGATCTTTTAAACCTTTCGCCAAATCTCCTTGGTCAAAACATTTCATAACCTCAGGGTCATTTGATGCTATCTTGTGTAATCGTAACCTACTAGCACTTAAATCTACTTGAGTTCGTTTAACCAAATCAACAGCAATATCAGCTGTTGTATGCGAGGACAAGCCGTCATCTACATAAAATTCTCTTTTCACAAAGTCTTGCACATCTTGATCAGACCTTTCTACAGATTTATGAAGACCGTATGTAGCTATTGCAGGGGAAGGGCTGTTCCCAAAGACATGTTTACACATGCGATATTCTACCAAAGGAAGGGAAGGGTCATTTCCTTCAAACCATAAAAAGCGAAGCAAGTTTCTATGCTTCTCGAGAACACTAAATGAGTAGAACATCTGTTCAATGTCGCAGATTACTGCAACTTTATCTTTTCTAAATCTCATCAAAATACCTAATAGGCTGTTGGTGAGGTCAGGACCTTGTAACAGGACAGAGTTCAAGGAAATACCTTCAAACAATGCTGACGAGTCGAAAACAACTCTAACTTGGTTTGGTTTTTTGGGGTGGTATACACCAAAGATTGGTAAATACCAACGCTCCTCATTATGACTCAAGTCTGGGGCCCTTTCAGCATGACCTTTACTAAAAAGGTTACTCATAAATTCAAAGAAATGCTGTTTCTTAACAGGGTCTTTCTGAAGACTTTTGATCAGAGTATTAGTTCTTTTAACTGCCTGAATTCTATTGTTAGGTAATTTGGGACGTAATGATCTAAGAGGTAGGGGAGCTACCCAATTCCCTTCTGGGGCCTTTTGAAACTGATCATTCATAATACTAAGGAATTCTCTATCATCCATAGATAGGGAAATCTTATCGTCATCAGGAGTTTTGACAAAAATGGGGTCTTGCACAGACAAGGGTGAACACTGACACGGTTCAAACAAAGATGTTCGACCGTCATTCAATATATAAGTTTTATGCACATTTACAACATCTTTAGCATGAATCTGATCTAAACATAATTCTCCAATAACAACCCAGCCCAAACCTAAACATTGGGCATATGGTGCACCTGACTGGCCAACGACTTGATCAACTATATGGTGAGCCTCAGTAACATCTCTACCTAATAACAAAAGAATATCAGCATTTTCATCAAATTCTGGTAAACAATCAGCAATTTTCTTTAAATGATCATGACACCTAGCATTTTCTGGCGTACATATTTCATGTTTATCATTCGGTATGTCAGTACACTCTATCAGAGTTGGTAACATATAGCGGACAGAACCATCAAGTGATTCAACTACACACTGGTTTGCTCTACGACCACTACAAACCATAGTGCCTGAACAAGATTTCAGTACATATTCATACATATCACTCTGTATATCTAACAAAGAAAATACATCAGGTTTAACAAGAGACCTATTGCTCTGTTCATCTAAAATTACATAACATTTGATAACATTATCAGGATTATCAACAGTATACATATTTGCAAGAATGATTTTTGAACATGATTTTCCTGAAAATGAAGCATTATGACATATGTCTGTACAAGCTGAAACAACGTTCTCTTTGTCATGTTGAGTGAATGTTTCTTTCTCCCCGCCATCAGACTCTGTTGATTTCTTACTGTTATTTCTGGCAGCTGAATCTGTTGGAAAGTCTATATGCATTGCGGTGCAATGTGAAGTACTCAAACAAACACTACACTTTATCTCTGCTTTACAATCGCGAGCTAAGTGATTGCTAGATAAACATTTGAAACATAATTTATTTTCGCGAAGCACTTTTCTTTTTTCAGATAAAGACATTGCTTTAAACAATCGACACTTCTCCAAAGAATGAGGTAATTTGTGAATTGGACACTTCAATTCTATTTCTGTTTTCCTGACAGAAACTTCTCGTCGTTCACGACTCTGTTGACTAGGAGTATTCTTCAGAGTAAAACTTTCAACGAAGAAACTAGGATCATTCCGTATTTTGCTCTGCTCCCTTACAAACTCAGCTACGACCCTAAAAGGTGGAAACGGTACTCGATATCTCCGTTTATACTCAGTTGCTTTTGTTGTCCACTTCTCTTGAATGTTATGTGGCAGTTTACTAATGATTGGAATAACACCCACTGCTGAATCAAAATATGACAGAGTAGTTGAGAATCTAGGGTCTTCCTTTAAACCTTCAATCTCTGATAATATGTCACAGAGATCGTACAACTTGAACGAGTCTTTAATTGTCAGTTTTGGAAATGATTCCAATTTCTTGACTATCGCATAGTAGGTATTTTCAGGGGATCCAAATCTCTCGTCAAGTCTATCCCAAATTCTGCACAATCCTTCATTTGGGTTATCAATGTATGCTGATTTCAAACATAAAGCTTGTTTCTTTGAGCCTTGACCTAACCACTTTATGAGCAAATCTATTTCTTCCACAACCGACGCACCTATTTCCTGGACTACAGATTTAAATGTAGACTTCCATGACTGATATGTCTCGGGTTTGTCCGAGAACACTGACAATCTAGATGTAAGAATGTCTTTTCTCAAAAGAAACTTTGTAAAGTCACTAACTACATCTGTTCTTGTATTATTTGGAATGAAGCTTTCTGCATTAGGATTAAAACTATATTTATTCAAAGAATTTTGCACAAATTCTGCTGTTTTGATCTGTGGATCAACTACAGGTACATCTGGTACAGAACTAATATCACTTCCATTTAAATCTTCGTATTCTGATTCCACAAGCGCAAGTTCTTTTCTTTGCTCTAAAAGCTTTAATTCAGTCTGTAGATTTGCTCGTTTACGAGATGCTGCTGCTGCCGAAATTGCTTCTTGTTCCTCGATTTCTGCTCTCTGTCTTTCCAACTCTGCTTCCTTTTCTGCAAATGATGCTCTTGCTTTAGCTGCTTGTAACTTAGCTGTTGACCTTGAGCCCACTGACGATTTGTCATAGTACTTAAATGTTCTGAGCTTATTAATAAATTCATTCACTGTTGTTCTCCTTTCTGTCATTGACTCTAACAATTCATCCAATGGTTGTTTACTGTCCTCAACTCTTGACGCCTCTAAATATCTCTGATATTCTGTAACGACACTGTCATATCTGTTGAAACACTCAACAATTTGTAACTTTACCGACTTTAATTTAAGCTTGTCACATTCCGAGCTTAAACTTGTGTTATCCTTTATAACAGTTTCAACATCTCTCCAGTATTTCTCCACCTTTGCCTCAAAGGTTTCTACTTTTTCTTCAAAATTTGCCATACCTTTGGCAGTAAGAGTTCTTGTACGTCCTAGAGACATATGTTAGATCTGCTGTTTAGTTGATGCCGAACGAATAAAGTAACATTCCTTTACTGTTCTGCCTCGTAAAAGTGAATAAACAAAACACAATTACTATCAGACAGTTTAACCAGCTTTATTCAATATCTTTATACGTGTGTATGCGTGTGTGGTAAAGGAATGTTGTGGCTTTATAGACATCTACAGCCAAATCTTTTACAAAATTTACAAATGGCGGTGCCACACCGCTTAAACACGAGAGCGTAACTAAATCAAACACGACTCTCACTGTAGCGTTATCGACTCATAGTATCGTCCTCAAAAACATCGTCCCAAAACTGACGATACAACACAACAAAAGTACAATGTGTGTATATGATCAAATCTATGCTACAACATAAACAGTTTGTTCGTCCGTTCGAGATCAACCATAACCTTCAAGTTGGATATACTTAAATTTTGCCTGTGCCAAAAGGACCTATTTATGGAGCAAGAAGTTACTTAAGTCAAGATCAAAGTCACCAGTTCTAAAAATAGGATTTTCACACTTTTATATTTGGTAAGAATATAGCATGAATAGTCCTCTACCTTCAGCTGGAGTTAAGGGTCAATTGGGTCAAGGTCACCTTTGCTAAAGTTATTTTTACACTATTCTCTAAAAGCCATTAGGTATTGACTGGGGTCTTTCATATCATGTAGATGTTAGGTACATGTCTCAAATAATCTTTTACCTTTGAAAAAGATTTTGATTATTTTGGGACATACAGTATTTACTTATTGACCAATGTCCTTGATATTTGGTAGGAATTTACCTCTGCTGGTCCTTTTACTTATGATTGGGTTTGAGTCACAAGGTCAAGGTCACCGTCACCAGTACTAAAATAAGATATTTACACTGTTGCTCACACAGTAATTACATGCTATGTCATTCAATGTTAGGATACTACGTCTTCGCGCACCTGCGCATACATGGTACATGTAAACCTTTAAAGGTTTTTTTACTGAATTCAATCTTTGGTGCGCTTCATTATTTTTTGATATTCTAACAATTTCTTAGAATAAAACACATTTTACATTCGAGTCGCCAATCACAGGAAGGTTGGTAGCATTTTGCAGGTGCGCGATGAAGTAGAATCCTACCATTGTGGTGGTTCTCTTATGGAAACTGGAAACCAGGAAACGTTCATATTCTTTTGTTCATTCTACAGTACAGGACAGTGAAAGAAAACACTTAATCGATTTATATGCTTGTTATTTACATATAAAGATACAAAACAAAGTAAAATACAAACGAGCACAAACAATTTATAATCAAAGCATGGTCTAAAGCTACATTATAAAACTGATTCTTCTGAAAGAATCAAATTCAGAAATTAATTCATTACTAAGCAAAACTCACTCTGAATTTATCGAATCCAGAATTAAAAATATAATGTTAACAACAATTCCTTAAAACATGACATCTCTCGTGTAATAATCATTACACAATTTCTGTAATTTAACACATTATTACACACTTAAAATCAACAACAAAAACTGTACAAACTAGAGCTTCTTTGATATCAACATATATACGTTTATTTATAGAAATAGATCATAGAGATTTCAACAAATAAATTTTAAGCGTTTGTTAATACAACTTGATCATAGATAAAAAGTTACATCAATAATGAGTCATTTGTAGTCTTTGAAATTTATAAATCATTTGGCCAATCCTCTTTATTTTTTGGTTAGCATTGACAAATTACAAATCCATTAACAAATCTTATTTTCTATAAAAACTAGATCACTAATTGTCTCTTCAAACATTTCGTCTGCATGCAAATGTCGTCATGGTTTTATTCACCTGGCTGTATGATTAAAAACATGTTGTTCTGGATTGAAAAATATCTAAATGGCTGTATGATAGTCAGTATATGAGAATGTTTTTTTTTTCTTGTTTTTTTTTTTTTTTTTTTTTTTTTTTCGTTTCTCCCTTACTTGAAATTCAGGTGCAATTTTACGCACAGTATTTGCAACAAATTTGAATTGAAAAAAAAAAAAGAACAAAAACAAAACAAAAACAATAAATTGTCAATTTAACATCTGCTTACAAATAATTGCCGTCAATATGACGTCAGTATAATTAAAGAGAAGATAACTCATGAATCCTTTCTGCGACAGAGGAAATCGACGATACGTTTCCGGTTGGTTTTACGAATGAGGATATAAACAACCGGATCTACAGTGTAGCTGAATCCTGAGATGAGATGAACATAGCTTGTAATTTTTACGTCGACTGGTACCCTAAACTGCTGCAGTAAAATCAAAACCTGGAAATAAAACATTCAAAGCTAGAAATAATAACCGTGTAAATGTCAGAAACCGTTTCTTCGGCACACCTCGCCGAATACTCTTGAACTTTTAATCACAGTTCTATACTAAATGATGACTTAAGGGCTGAAAAGTCACAATATCTCTGTATTTGCGTAAGTGAATTGCGTTCGCTACAGTGCAATAATGACAGAATGAAAAACTATATGATGTGGGTGATCATAGAAAATGACAACAGAAACATTTTAAACGAAAACAAATGGAGGGTTGATTATCTCATTTTCAGTTTTAAGATGCCATTGATTTTTGTTTTCTTTTTTCTCTGTTGGTTTGTTTTTTGTTTGTTTTGTTACCTTAGATCATTTCAAGAATAATTAACTAAACAATAAGGCGGCTGAAAATAATATATGTAAATTGGATTAAGTTGTCTATCTTATTCTTGGTAACAAAATTTCCGAAAATATTTTTTTCCGGTGTAAGTAAAGATGAAAAAAAAATGGTCGTTTAAAAGATTGAAAGATCAACACACAAATAAAACAACTTTTATAAGTGTATCAGCCATTAAAATAAGATAAATAAAAAGAAAAAAAACGAGAGTGAAATAGCTTTCTTTTTTGTATATATGAAATCTATTCTTTTAGTTTAATCTTATTTTATTGTATACATATGCATACATTAAATTCATACACAATAACACATAGACATATTAATGTAAATACAGTGTAACTTCCGAATTCCGGAACTTCTACAAACCGGAAATTTCTGAAATCCGAACATTTTTCAGGGTCAGGAAATTTCTCCATCTGTTTTCCATGTAATTAATACCTCTGAATTACGGAACTTTTAAAAATGGTTGGGCTAAAAGTTATAACAACATTATCTAGAGCCTTCTTTAAGGTTATTCAAAAAAGATGTGAAAACATATGTAAAGTCTGACTTATTATACTAAAATCTCAAGATAAATATATCAATTATAGAAAAAAATATATATTATCTGATCTTTTGAAGGAAACTATCGAGATATTAGATTAATTAAATTGGCCATTACAAATTTGCAAACCTCAGTTCTGATGTTACAATATTGTGACTGGATATCGTCTCCAGTAAATAAAAATGTAAATTCAAATTAAAAAATATAATGAACATCTGTCCCTTTTCCTGTAATAAATTTCCGTATGATTTATCACTCCGTAGATAATTCTAGATGTTTCCATTGTTAATGATCCAGGAACGTCAATTAAGACTGTGAACATGGTGAAATATATGACATATAATTGAAATACAGACCTGCTATTTGTCCTTTTCATTTTTACTGTGCCTTAAATTGTTGTTTATCATGACAGCGATGTTTGATTGACGACGGATTTAGGGATGATGAAAATGTGAAAGAAATTGAGCCGTGTCATGACAAAACCAACATAATGGGTTTGCGACCAGTATGAATCCAGACCAGCCTGCGCATCCGCGCAGTCTGATCAGGATCCATGCTGTTAGCTACTAGTTTCTCTACTTGTAATATAGTTGGTAAGCGAACAACATGGATCCTGATCAGACTGCGCGGATGCGCAGGCTGGTCTGGATCTATGCTGTTCGCTTACCAACTATGTTGGTTTTGTCTTGACACGGCTCAATTTTGTCTTGTTTTAACTCTTATCCTGGTGTAAACGGAAGTAATTAGCCTTTGCCGCCAGTCTAAAGACAAGACAGTCTGCACATCCGGGCATTCTTACTTAGCTCTATCAGAGGATCGACCCTATAGAGGTACGATAGTTTTTTAAGTTTAAGCGAGGGGTAATGGTACGATATGGCATACAGTATATCAATAAAATATATGTCTGTACCTTCAAATAATCATTAAGATATCCCCGAAATTGATAATAGAAAGTTCGAAAATGGACGCTGGACAAGTCCATTTTTAGAAATTTATCAAGATATGGGGTTAATTGTGTAACAGAAACGTAGATGAGATTTTTTATATCAGAGATCTCTTGCAATTAGACTGACAAATTATTCTCTGAATCAGATGAATGGACAAATGATGCTTAGCGTGTTATTATTTCTTTCTTAACATTTATTGATGGCCTAAGATTAGGTCAAGGTCACGGATATTTTTTCGCTTCAGAATCCTTAATGTTACTTATAAATTCTTAAAGAAAATCGTCTACAAATTCTTATTACACCACTGTTTTTAGTACAACAGTAAAATACTCGTATAAACAAATGAACCATGTATATTATGTTTTCTTTATCGACAGAGTATAAAATACCAAATGAATGTAAATTTTCTCTCTTATTCTATATATTGTAAAACAGGCCAAATTAACAGACATTTCACAAACAGACCTTATGATTTGTAGTAAAAATAGACACGTTAGACTACCACTTAACATAACAAGACTAAGAGACATCCTGCATATTTTCTTGTTTTCTAATTTTTGTTTGATATTACTAAATAGTAAAATAACTTCCCATGTACATGCAATACTTATGAATATTTCATTGTTATTTTTCTGGTTCGTCGTCTAAGTATAGTCCGCCATTTTCCAAGTAACGCTAGTGAAATAAGATAGGTTGTGGCCTTTATTAAGTCGGTAAAAACTAGATTAAAGCTTAGATGAAGCGACTGCATTAAGGCCTCAGCAGAGGACAGGGTTTATATGAACAACATCAATTATAGATTAGATAGATATACAATTGTTAAAGCAATACAACACTTGCATTCAAAGGTAATGCTATACTTTACGAAGCATGCTTCCCTCCTAAAAAGTTACTTGTAAATAGTTTTCTTGGAAGATTTAGACATTATTATTACTGTTATATTTGTAAATATAATAACTGACCAAATAAGGGGTTTGCTAAAGCGGTAGACTAAAGGTTCGACCGTAATTAACAATGACACAGTATATAAACAAGTCTACTTCCTGTTATGGCAAGAAATGTTCAAGTTAAAATAGATATGCTCCCATGTAAGTACAGTGATCGGAATTAACACTTGATTATAATCGCAAGATAGGGTACACATTGAACTGTTTAGCTTCGCAAGAAACGGTACAGTGATTTCGTTTATCTATAGTGAAGGAGGGAAAATTTAGGAAATTACCATGTACTTCTGGAATAAATGAAACAGCTGAGCACCCTAGACACGTTATATGTTCTAGTCTTACGGTGAAGAATTAGTTTGTCTTCATAATATATGATCCAAGCAAGGAAATCCCTGCATATCTTTCTCAGTCTATAGTCATTATAATGATGGGATTCGAACATCAAAAATTCTGCAACATCCTCAACTATCTCATTGCTATATTTACATTTTAGCCTAATTTTTCTGAAATTTAATTCATTGCACACATAATCAGGCGATAATTAAAAAGATTGTCATTTGTCATCGTTGGTGTTCCGTACAATAAAAATTATATTAAAAGAACATTTAGAATTAAATTTACGACCAGAAATACTAGCCTTGACGCTGGTACATCTAAGAGTTATTATAAACCCTATCGTCTGTTCAGGCTCTTGGGTCATAGAAAGTCAATATAAAATCAACGCTTATATTTATTTTAAACATGTTTCTCCTATTATATATTCAATTTAATTTCGAATTTGCATTAAAACAATAATATTTCAATGAAAATCTTCAGTTTTGAAATAGATACAATGTCGATTCCTATTTAAAACGTATTTTTTTTTAAATAGATGAGTAGGACAGTTTTATTTTAATTTAAGATATCATATACGGTATGTGCATTTATCATATACATTTAATGTCATGCTACAGATTCAATATGCATAAAATAGCTGGAATATCATGTGCCATAACGTTGTAAACAGTCCATAAACAATCATCAGTTAAGTTGACAATATAATATTAAATTTAAGCAAAGTTCATTACTTACGTTGTAAGGAGTTTCGCAGACCAGGTAGACAGTCGCTAGTGCAAGCATCAATTTAGCAAAAGCAACTTCCACTGAGGCTTGGTTTACTTTCGATGAGTTGGTGTCCCCTGTTGAACTGGTGGCAGACTCTGATGGTACATAGCTAACAACCCGTGAGGAGAGCTTCAAAACAGACCGTATCACAACCGCATTCAGGCATACAATCATGATCACGCATATTATTCCCGCGAATCCATACGCCATCCCGTACACCCTCTCTATCGGCGGTGCCTTAAAACTGAGTGATGTGCAGTACATTTTCCCCGTACTCTTTCTCGTGCCGGTATAACTTCCAAGTCCAATTAATGGCAATAGATTCAGTGCCGCTACAGAGACTGTAGCAAGAAGACAGGCTAATTTCCACGTTTTGACACTCACGTGTTGTTTATAATAGAACGCAAAGCATATCGCCAGCACGCGATCAACCGCCATAAGTACATTCATAACACCTGAGAACAGTTTGAAATGTGAGTGGAATGTAGCCAGGGAGGCACACATTGGATAATTCACATCCGTGACATATCTGATTACCATGTGGCGCGTGATCGAAAAGCAAACAGCGATAAAGTCGCACGTGCAAAGCACGAGCAATAAGATAATAGCGGGAAATACCGCTTTCTTTATATCACGGATGATAAAGAAAAGAGCAAGTAGGTTTGTAAGAATTCCTGGTATCCAAATCAGGCATAATGACAAATAAAATGAGGTCTGAGACTTGGTCCTGGTACTGCTCCTCATCCCTGTGGTATTTGTCGAGTCCGAACCATTGAGAATAATCTCTGTCAAATTAAGCACCGTTATGTTCTCCATAGTTTTTTTCTCTTTTGACTGAAATATATGCACATATTGTACTTTCTATTATTTTCTTTTGAAACATATAGAAATGTAAACTTTTATGTAATAAGTTCTTTTTTATTTGTCTGATAAAAACAATTCATTGATAAAAGATATGTAAAATAGGTTTCAAATAGTCTTTCGGATGTTAATTATATATTTTAGTCCTGCTTAACGCCATGCAAAAGATGCCGTTACATAACTGTTTCAAAAACGTTAGAAAAATTCTGAGAAATATACATCCATGATAAACTTTCTTATCATCATCATCATCACTACCACCACCACCACCACATAATCACCATCAGCAGCAGCATTATCATCACAATTATATATTATTATCATTTAACTATTATTATTTTATCATCATCATAATCATAATAATCATCATTATTATTATTATTATTATTATCATTATTATTATTATTATTATTATTATTATTATTATTATTATCAGCATCACATATTCCTATAACTAATAAAGACAAAATATTCACACATACTCCTTCCTACCTCTTAACTATAGATTTATCCTACAATGATACTGCTTCTGTGAAAGACATTTATATCGCTGACTGGTGTTGACAAGGTTATCATGTGAACAGGAAAAATAGTTCTGTCTCATTAAAACCGATAGAATCATGCATTGTGATAAAAATAACCTTTTACCCCAGCATTAGTCAAAAACTATCATATTGTCAACAACTTAGTAAGTCTTATTCATTTTAAAAGTCGATGTCAATGGGAAAATATTCTGAACTTTTTTTTTTTTAGAAAATGTGTAAGTTCAGCAAATATTAAGTGAAACAAAAATACTCTAATTTTTTTTTCATGCCCAATTAATTATATTTTACTTTGAAAATCAATAATTCTAGTGACCAACTGAAACTGTAAAATTAATGACGTTCAGAATGTATGGATAACGTTCAATTCTATTAAAGATTGGGGCAGTTTTTTTATAATTTAGGTCGTTTTTACATTAGATCATAAACATTTTTTTATTGTCAATAATTGGTCACACACTATTATAATAGTCAACCTTTTGATATATATCCTTAATTCAACTTAAACTGTCGAAAGCAAAAAATGAGCATAATGTAAAAAAAAACCTACGGTTGATATTAGTCGTTTCTAAAATGAATGTGAGGGTTGAGTGAAACTTTATTGCTACTTTATTGAAAATGGCGACAGCTAAAACAAACGCTATTGTGAAAAGACATTAAAAAATAAAAAGAATCCTGTTTGTTTTATTATTTTCGTGAATCAACGTTTAACACATAAAACACTGGTAGACCATGCGTTATAAACGGTTTCAAAATATCTGTTTATGAACTATTTTTACAACTTCAGTCGCCGGACAAACGATTAAAAGTCAAGATCGACAAAACCCCCTTCCATCCAACTTTAAATAGTATCTTAATACAATTTTCAGTTATCGATAATGCAAAATAATTTTGCGTCAGTTATGTTCCGTTCTTATAGTTTACTTTATCCCATATTTCTGCTTAGAAGCACCTTTGCATTTGAGTTTATCCTAATTGACAATGTAGTTAATTTAAATGTATTGATGAAAACTAAATGACGGCATGTTTGTTGAAAAGTGATCGTCACGTTTATTTCCACTTATCTTACTCTTTTTTTCTCTTTACAAACGTCATCAACGCAGATATTTTATCATTTTATATGCAAAGTGTGATATATGATTCCTTCTATTTTATGTTTTCCTTAGGCGCTACAGTCTTTCAAATTGGTGTATTTAGTTTAAGAAATCCTCAGTTATTTAGTTTGCTTGTCATTAATTTACAAAGATCTTAAACCTTTGCCAAGACATTGACTTGATGTTTTGATGAATACAAGAAGGCCAAGATTGCCATACATTGTTTACCAGAGGATATAGTCTACTAAGACAAGATTAAATTACCTGGGCTATTAACTCAGTTTAACCATATTGATCCAAAGGGTTAAAGATATATGAGCCGCGTCACGACAAAACCAAAGTAATGCGTTTGCGACCAGCATGGATCAAGGCCAGCCTGCGCATCCGCGCAGTCTGATCAGGATTCATGCTGTTCGCTATCAGTTTCTCTACTTGTTATAGGGTTTGTAAGCGAACAGCATGAATCCTGATCAGACTGGGCGGATGCGCAGGCTGGTCTGTATCCATGCTGGTTGCAAACGCATTACGTTGGTTTTGTCGTGACGCGGCTTATATCATTTAATTGTTATTCTGTATTAAGCATGAAACCATTTAAGCAAATTTTGTAAAGGATCATCTAAAGATTATTCATGTAGAGGTTTATTAATTAATCTGAAGCATGGTTGCAGAGAAGATGTCACTAAAAAACTTCTCTTTTTAAGATCTGATAGTCATCTTGATCAGCAAACCAGAACTAGATGATCAATTTTAGTATTGGAACGCGAAATGATTATTTGTAGCCCGATCCATTTGCACTATATATCTTTATAAATATTTGTTTTTATATCATTCATGTAACTTTAATGTATTTCTGTAAAGATTAGTTGCAAGAAAATATTATTAAACTAAGTACAGGAACGCGAAATGATAATATCTGTAGAGCTTCATTTAAATTTATTTAGTGACTGAGGAGGACATATCATTAAGCGATAAATTTTAATTTCGACTGTATAAAGATTTGACTATATATATACAAAAAGCAATACCTATAACCTAAAGGGAGTGGTCAAAACTGGGCCCAGAGCCATAATGCCTTTATAATTTTAAAGGAAATGCCAGAGAAGATGATTTAAGAAAAAATACTTGAAATATAAAAGGAAAAACTATGATATCAATTGGCAGGGAAATTTTAACCATAGGGCTATAATCACTACATGATGTTTCATACCAAATATCTATGCTCTAGTCTTTAAAGTTTAAGAGTAATTTTCAAAGATTTTTCTTTTGGTTGCCATGACAACCAGAGATTTGCATGAATTCAATTTTCTAAATTTCTTTATGAGAAGATCATCCAATAATTTTCCTATAATTATATTAACATTGTGGTATACTAGTACAAGATGCTGTTCAAGAAAGTGCGAACAGACAGACGGGCGGAGTGACGGACGCCGGACGATGAGAGATGGCAATAGTACGTTGTGCTTTGGTGAGCTAAAAAACAAAGTTGTTTTAACTAGAACTGCCACTATCATGGCGTGAATACCCCCGCATACCACTTTGTCAGAATCAACAGTGGCCATTTAGAGCTCAAGGACAACCTCCCTGCCAAATCTGAAGTTACTATGCCAGTGCATTGCTAAGTTATGTATTCTACATGCTTCAAATGCGAAAATGTCAAAATCAATACATTGCGGACAAGACATTCTTTAACAATTAAAAAGAAAAGCTTTTTTGTCAAGGTCCCTGTGACCTTAACTTTTGACCCAGTGACCTCAAAATCAATAGGGGTCACCTTATAGTCATGATCAACATCCATGACAAATATGAAGACTGTGGGTCATAAATGGGTGGACAAAATTTTTGAAGTCAAAGTCTCTGTGACCTTAACCTTTGACCTGGTGATCTCAAAATCAATAGGGGTCATGTACAAATCATAACTAACCTCCATACCAAATATGAAGACTGTGGGTCAAAGGAATCTTAAGTTATTGGGCGGACAAGCTTTTTGAAGTCAAGGCCCCTGTGAACTTGACCTTTGACCTGGTGACCTCAAAATCAATAGGGGTCATCTACTAATCATGACTAAACTCCATTCCAAATATGAAGACTGTGGGTCAAAGGAATCTTAAGTTATTGGGCGGACAAGGTTTTTGAAGTCAAGGCCCCTGTGACCTTGACCTTTGACCTGGTGACCTCAAAATCAATAGGGGTCATCTACTAATCATGGCTAACCACCATGCCAAATATGAAGACAGTGGGTCATAGGAATCTTAAGTTATTGGGTGGACAAGGTTTTTGAAGTCAAGGCCCCTGTGACCTTGACCTTTGACCTGGTGACCTCAAAATCAATAGGCGTCATCTACTTATCATGAGTAACCACCATGCCAAATATGAAGGCTGTGGGTCATAGGAATCTTAAGTTATTGGGCCGACAAGAAAAAACCGACGGACGGCCGGACGCCGGACGCCGGACGGCCAGACGGCCGGACGGCCGGACGGACAAGCTGACTCCAGTATACCCCCCTTACAACTTTGTTGTGCGGGGGTATAACAAATAAATTAACTTTGCTATATCCTGTCGTTAACCCGTGCAATCAGGTTACCTTAGATAGAATCAGAAAATACCGAAAGGTCTTTGACATGTAAACAAACTGTCCTTGTCTGTTTTATTTATGGACAGCAATTTCGCCAGAGAATGTGTCCGTTTCGTGAAACGGAAGCACTTGACGTTTTACAATTTATTTCTAGCACCTTCTTCACGACAAAGATATAAAGCTATAAAATTTGAATTTTATGCGCAGTTTCAGATGCAGATTTTAATTTCGGTTTAGCTACTTTTTTACCGGTAACATACTTTTTACCTCACCTGAGCATTTTATGTCTTGTTTTTATAGTGAGTGATATCATTGAAAGGGCCTTTTTGGCCTTCTTTTTGTATTTAAAATTCCCTTTGCAATGGCGTGTCCAGAAAGTAGTTCTATGTTGGCTTAAAAATGGGGTATTATTTTCCAGTTTACGTGTTTAAATGACATTGTACCAAAAAGGGTATAAATAAGATAATTATTTAGTTCGGCCATGAATTGTGCGGATGTTTATAAGTTCAGTGTTGATATACCTTTACTGAAATAATGTCTATTGGGTTAGAAATAACAATTTAATAAATTCATATAAACCTCGTGATATCTGCTTGATTTGATCAAGCTGTATAAATCCTAGAAAAAACAACTATCGAGAGTATATATATCGTAGACGAGTCTACTCGTTGTGATGAATTATGTCGCAGAA